TCCATAACAAAGAAACAAGGAAAACACTATGAATAAAATATAATACCAAAAATAGTAAATGTACATAGAAACTTTTTAGCTATCACAACAATTATCTAAAAATGCATCACAGACTTCAATACAAAACTGTAAAACACTTACAAGACAGCCCTGGGAAATTCTAGGTGGTCTGGGATTTGCTAATGACTTTTAACGCCCATTACATGTGCAAAATCCATTAAGGAAATAATTGATAAATAGTTAAAACTATCTACTCCACAAAAAGACACCATCAAAAGAATAGAAGAGTCACAGACTAGGAGAAAATATTTGCAAAATGCATATCTGATCAGAACTATTTTCCAAAAGACACAAAGCGTTCTCACCAAATAAGAAAACAAGCAGATTAAGAAACAAGGCAAATAACAAACACCTCTCAAAAGCAAATATACAGACAAAAATAAGCACATGGACAAATGCCCCATGTATTCATTAGCCATCTCATCACTGGAAAACAATACCTGAAAACCACAATTTAAAAGAAAAATTTCATTTGGCTCATCTTTACAGGGAAATTAAGCCATGGTCAAATCTATGGCTCCAATGCAGAGAAATCATTGTGCAAATTGTGATAAAGCAAAGCTGTGTAATACATGGTGGTCAGGAACAGAGCCTGATTAGAGTATTAGAGAGAAAGCAGCCAGTGACCATATATGGAATCAAAGACTCCTCCATGACTCATTCAGACATACTACGAAAGGTTGTTTATTTATCCCATAGGATAGCATTTCCTCACCTAGTCAGGCTGATATATCACATAACAATCAAAAGCCACTGCTCATCAACTCAAACACATTTCCTCAAACTATAACTAGTCACCAAATAAACACAATAATACCTTAATATTTTCAACAAACATGTTACAGCTATCCTGTGTGTAAAGACAACATAATACTCCCAAAGTCTCAACAATCTACTATTTCTCAAATCAAAGTCTTCTCTGATACTCAAAGCAAACTCTTGGCTATGAACTTTCCTAAAAATCATTAACAAGATACACAATCCAAAGGGACAAAATCATAGGGAAAATGTTTCCATTCCAAAAAATGACTGTACAGTAGGAAAGAATCCCACCAAAGCAAAATAGAAATACTGCAGAGCAAGCATTAAGTCCAGTGGTCAAACATCTGAGGCATGGGGCATGTGGACCTGTAATGGGCGATGTGGCATGGGGCATGTGGTAATGAGATGTGAATTCTAGAGGGCTTGAGCAGCACCATACCTACAGCCTTCAGTCAGAAATCCAAACAACCTCTCACTTAGGCTGGGTCCACTCAGGCCTGCTGCAGACATTCCATATCCTTGGCACCTCTGACACTGGTCATCCCTGTATCTTTGGGTTCATTCCAAATTGTCCTCTCTGGAGCTTTTGGCTTGGTCTTCAAGACCTTCCTTTGAAATCTAAGGGAAAGCAACCCTGACCCCACAACTCATGCAATTCTGCTTACAAGTAAAATAAACAGCATGTGGATGACATAACGGTCTTCCACAGCGTCAGCAGAAGCCAGACCCACTAGGACCATGACTGCAGCAGCCTCTGATTGTCTGGATGGCTGATTCCAGTGAAATGAATGAAGGATACCAATTCCCAAGATGGCCTTTCTGTACCAGGTGATGTAGGACTTTCTTGCTAATTACTATGTGCCCCAAGACATCTTTCTTTTTATACCAGTACAGTATACTTCAATCCCTGATAGTAGTGCTAAAATCTTGTTTGACGTCATTTTATAGGTGGTTCATTTTGGCCAGAATGAAATTTTCAAACTCTTCTTCTCTACATTCTGTTATAAATGCAAATTTTCACAATAAACATGGCTAAGATGGGTAGATGTTTATATCAATATTGTTATAATAGAAAAATCCTGAGAACTATGTAACAATTCAGGGAGATAGATAAAACAAGCCAGGAATGTAACTCAGTGGTATAAGCACCTGTCTGGAGAGTGCAAGACCATGATTTAGATCCCTGGTACCAGAAAGGAAAAGGAAAGAAAGAAGAAAGAAAGAAAGAAAGAAGGAAAGAAAGAAAGAAAGAAAGAAAGAAAGAAAGAAAGAAAGAAAGAAAAGAAAGAAAGAAAGAAAGATAGGTTAATATCATGAGTTGTACATCACACTCAAAATTTCAACCTATGTATGAAATAATATGGATTATTAAACATCATAAGAGTGATTTAAAATTCTGTATGCCTAAAATTATCTTTTTGTTTACCTCAATTATTATACTATTTAAAGGAATATATATAGATATTTTCAACTCATATTAAAGATCAGTAAGTTCAACCAGAAGTCTTTAAGCGGACAGATTAAATTGCGTGGCTCTGGTGAAACGAATTTAATCACAAGATTGCATAAAATGTGGATGATTCAGTGATGATATTTGTGACCCAAGAAAGACTAGTCCTACACCAGTAGCTCTGAACACAAAAGAGGGCTACAAGCCAAGAAATCGGGGCAAATTCTAGGAGCTGCAGTAAAATAAAGAGGTTTTCCCAAGAACTTCCAGAAAACCTTGCCATTGTCAGCACCATGAGTTGTTTAGCTTGTTGATAACTGCTCTTCTGAACTGTAAGGTATTTGTTTTAAACCTTTAAATACTCATATGTATACACACACACACACACACACACACACACACATACACGCAATTATAGACACGTATTTGAGTGTCAGTGTCACACAAGTGATAGATGACATAAAAAAAAATCAACCTGCGGTTAAAGAGTAATAAATGGAGATATTTCACGTGGGGTGGTCAGAGTTTCAGTAATGCTTAAAGACCTCTGAATCACAACCAACTAATGTGATTTCCACAAAAAATTTTCAGAAGACATAAAGTGCACAGTTCTCACAAACAGATGTGAACTTGGCATGTCTGTGGGACAGACAAAAGGTCAATGGAGGAAATGGCTGCAGGAAATGGAGTCTGATAGAAAACTATGGATGTATTATTTGTGCTATCCAAATAATTTATCTCATAGTTTTGGGCTGTTTATGCTGAAAAGGGAGTGTGAACACCAACAGAGAGGAAGAATATTTCTTTTTGCACTATCATTTATGTTTTGGGGTGGTAATAAATTACGTTTTTGCTGTTGAAGAATTTTTATTACAACAGAGTTGTTTAACCTGAAAAGTAGAGATGATAATTTTAAAAGTGAAGTACAATTTAAAAGTTCTCTTGGACCTGGACAGTTGTATAAAAAAATTGAGGGAAAGGGGACAGAAAAAATCAAACTATGTTATTAAAATATAATTGCTGTCTTATCTCAGTTTTATACTTTTCTAACTGCTGAGGCTGTACCCAAAAGTCACTAACTATACGCACATGGATGTTTGCACATGAACAATGATAAGGATCCCACAGTTGGTGCACACTGAATAATTTGATCTGGAGGTGAACTTTCAAAATATGGAATGAAGAACACTAAATAGCCTTTTTAGACATACTTGTTTATCATGTTAAAAACATTCAGTTATGTTAGCAACAAGAAATAAAGTTTAACACACAAGATTTGGAATCAGACTGTCTCAGGTCAGACTCTTCTAGTACTTTCCATCTTTGAGACATGGAAAGCATTTACCTTTTATATAACTTGATTTTTTATAGGTAAAAACTGGTAAGCACATTTGATTGTCAATATTTTGGGGACTCTAATAAGAGAAGTATATAACATTAGAGTAATATGTGGCATAGTAGTACTCAATAAATTCCTGATATTAATTATTGTTTCTCTTCTCTTCTTTATGGGGCTGCAGGTCATGTGTTGATGCCCAATTCCAAGGCTCTTGTGCCAAATGTACTATAAGAATTATCTATAACTTCATACTAGCGGCAGCTAATTAGTTGTTACTTTCCTATGTATTTGAAACTGAAATCACTCTACCACTCAGTGTATTACCCTAGAAAATAGGATATTTTCCATTGACCAACACCTTTTCCTATGACTACCTTTTGACTTAAAATTATCAAATATTTCTTACAAACAGATCTTATCAGGAATCTCTAGCAACAGATTTCACATTCCCTGGACAAAGTTAAAAGAAACTATGTAGCACAACATTGCAATTATGATCTTTGTGATCTCTAGTCAACCAGGTAAAACTTCAACTAACTGAAAAAAAATTGCTAAAAAGTGACTCTAGATTATTTATTGATTTCTTTGAGATTTTCTTCATAGGCTTTACAGGGTTTGTTCTGGATTTAAGTAATTTTGAGTTACAAGGTAGACCACTTCAGACAAATTTCTGTGCTTCCCAGAGTTGGCTTTTTCATTCTGCTCTGTGCTTGTTCAATACTTTTCCAATTTATGAAAATAATAATATAATAGAATAGAATAGAATGCCTCACAACCTCATAACAAAAGGAAAAGGCAAAATTATTTTTGTCAATTCACAAGTGGAAAAATTAAACAGATTGTCTAAATCATCAACTAGGTCTTGATTATTGAATGTTTGTATTTATTTATGCCTGTTATGTATTTCTTTCTATATTACTTTAGTTCTCAGAATAAAAGATATTGTTCTCTAAGAAAAGAATACTTAAAATAGTCAAGATTGCAAAGTGATTCACAAGACATTAATCTTCTGGATTGATATCTTACTGTTAATAATATGATTATATAACACATTACACAGCATCTTTTATTTCAGTCACACTTATAAATATCTCTTGATCAAGTATAAAAGTGAAGATACTAAAATATTTCTAATGTTTCCATATAAAAGTTAGGCATCAAAAATAACACCAACTAAAGACTTTAATAATATACAGAAATTTAAATAAATATAAGTATAAATAAATATTAAATAAATATACACATTACGTTGTTAACAGTTGGATGTATACTTCATTTGAAAAATTCTAATATGAAAACTAACGTCCTTTTTAACAATTGGCTGCCTTTCCTACAAATAAAAATTCTCTCTTCCCTTGTTTTAGTGTGGATCTATGACATTCAACTCACCTTTAATCTATTGCAGCATCTACTTTCACTTTTCTCTGAAGAATCAGTTTCTGTTGTTACATTCACATACTTATGTTGGTCCATGGTTAATCACATATATGATGTGAATAGTTTCAGTTGTTGAAGGTTGGTTTGAAATGACCACCTAGCCAGGATTTAAGAGGATTTCTTATTTCATTTTATAAATATGTAACTTAGAAATAAGAAATTCTGCAATGCCAAACTGAACCAGTCAATCAATAACTGCTGTATGTTCAGAGTCCACTACATTTCAGCTGCTCTACTATGTAAATGATGGGCACAAAACAGAAAAGGACTATACAAGTTCTAACATCAGAAAAATTATAATTAGGCAGATTAACTTGTGCAGAAAAATTTGGAACTACAGGAACATGATACACAATCAAGATATATGAACAAAAATTAAATTATAGAAATTGAAATTTTATATTGTATTGTATCTTTTTAAATATATTAATACCAGTATTGATTCCCTATATACCACATTTTCTACTTTGTCATGGTATTTTAAATATATTTTAGAAGGCTTTAATATAGTCTTCTCTAGATGTTCTTTTTATCTGAGTTCAAAATGACATAACAGTGCATATTTGTTAGACAGTACATAAGACAAGTCCCAAGGTACTGGGGTGTAGACTGGTTTTTTTCCTGAAAAAAAAAAGAGTCCAGTACTTCCCTGTGGAGTGGGGCAGGGAGTCATAATCTCAGCAACCTCCATGTTCTGTGTCAAGTTTTCACTATTTCAGGGCTCTTAGAAAAGTAGTGCTCCCAAGTACCCTTTTGCTAGCATGTACCTGTGGGATCTCTGATGACCTGATTTTTTCCCATTCAATTGGAGAAAAAATATATTTTCTTTCCTATCACATTGAGTCAAAGTCTGAGTGCGAAAAAAAGGAAACTAGAAATGTGTTCTCTAGATCTGTAAGATGTGCTAAAACAGCATTGAGATTTCATCTCACTCCAGAAAGAATGGCTGCCATCAAGAAATCAACTTATAACAAATGTTGGTGAGGCTGTGGGGGAAAAGGAACCCTTCTCCACTGTTGGTGGGTTTGCAGACTGGTGCAGCTGCTGTGGAAATCAGTATGGAGATTCCGTAAACAACTAAGATTGGAAGTTCTATTTAATCTAGCTATTCCTCTCCTGGCTATTTTCCCAGAAAAATTGAAAAGGTCATGTCTTAGTGATATATGCACCCATATTTATAGCAGCACAATTTGTAAAACTGTCTGCTAAACGTTGGAAACAACCAAAATGCCCATCAACCACAGAATGGGTGAAAAGGATGTGGTGTTTTTATACAATGGAATATTACTCAGCTATAAAACATATGATCTTGAGGCTTTTATAGGTAAATGGAGGCAACTTGAGACTGTCTACATAAGTGAAATATATCATACTCACATTTGTAAATATGATATTGTCTCTCTAGTATGAAAAATAATAACAAAAAACTGAAAGAGTAATAAGATCCAAAATGTATAACAGATATTAAGACAATGAAAGGGAAAGAAAGTGTCCTAAAGGATATAACTATATGTATGTTTAAGTGTGTAATATAGATAACCATATTGCTAAGTTTGTGTTAATTCATCAAACAGAATGTTTTGTACTGCCAAAGTTTGATTTCCACTTTTTAGGCTTTGAATTTGTGACTTGAGCAACTACTTTTAAGATAATGTGAGCTGGGGATTTGGCTCAGATGTATAAGCACCTGCCTGATAAACTCAAGGTCAAGAGTTCAATCCCCAGGACCAAAAAGAAAAAAAAAAGATAATACTACGTGATGTATCATCCAGTGATTTTTTACTTTTTTTGGAATTTTGTATTATTTCTACTATTTTTTCTGTTTTGCTTTCTTTCTCTAAATAAAAACAATAATATTTGATTTGAAGAAAAGGAAATTATAGATGATTAAGTGACTTTTGCACATATTCCAATTTTCTATATTTATCAACTAAATTTCATCCTCCATTATCTAGATAAGATGAAATAAACAATTAGGGAGTCTACTCTAATAATTCCATATTTGGAGCTGAATTAAGTAACTGTTTTCTGGTGGTAACTTTGACAGACTCATCTAGAAAGTCATAGAAACAGAATTTGAAGCTATTTTTATAGTGTAAAAATATTATTTCTTATACTTTTAAACTAAATAAATATGAAGTACATCTATCTACAAAAGGAATATTTACTAGATCCTGAGAGTTTAGAAAATTGGTGTAGAGAAGACCCAAATTATAAAATTTGTAACATTTATAATAACAAATATATATTTTATTAACTTGCAAAAATTATTACATAGAAAAACATTTAAATTAGAGAATCTTAAAAGATCTTACCTGAATTTAGATTCCTGTGCAACTGAAGTCTAACGTTTACCCTTTCTGAAAGTCACTATTTAAATATTTTTTGTCAGTCCAGTGATGATTAACCATCTTCTTAGGTCAAGGTCCTAGGCAAATAATATAATCATTTCTGGTTCACAATGCAGTGGGGTAGGTTAAATTTTATATTGATTATTGTTCAGAATTTATACATTTATTTTACATTAACTTCTTTGAACTATTTCTTGGTTGATTTGCATTTGTTTATTCAGGTAAGTTGATGAATTTTCCATTGAACATAATAGTGTGATGTTTGTTCCAAACTAATATTCTTCCAAATAGTGTAATGTTTTTTCCAAAGCAATATTCTTCCAAATAGGAAAGAAATTCAAGGAAATGTTGGGATTGTGTCTATAGTTTATATTAGCATTCCAAAGAGAAGACAAAATAGACATTTTTTTGCTGGGTATCTGGATATGGTGTCAGTGTACTGTGAAAGACATTGTACAGACAATCAAGATCTCCAGTGGGCTTCCTATGAAATCTGTATTTCTTTAAATTGTTTTTTTAACAGCTATGTTCTGTTTTGATATGTTTAATCTTACCCTCTTTGAGAAGTAAAACAAATGTGTAGGACTGATAACCATGTTACTGAGCTCTTGTTCGATCATAGAGCAGAAGGGTTTGTAGTGTCACTTTATGAATGTCATTCTAAATGCTTTAATTCCATAACATGAACAGCTACTTCTAAGATGACAATGTGTAACTTATCAACCAGCAATTTCTTACCGTTTGTTTTTCTGTAAGTTTGTATCATTTCTACCCTTTTTTAAAATCTCCATGTATTCTTTTGTTTCCTTTTCTTTAAATAAAAAATTAAAAAAAAAAAGACATTGTACATCCCACGTGGAATGGTAAAGTGACCGGCACTCATGACCCGGGTCTAGTCAATGACAAGACATGGTAGGGTCCTTGCATCAAACCTGAGGAAACCTGCCTGGAGTTTCCTTCAATCACATATAAAATAGTTTTTAGAAATGAAAGAATTTGGGGCTACTTTTAATTTTTTCTGTATTTCTTCTTCTGTTTTTCTTTCTAAATTTAGCTCAATTTTAAAAATTCAAACATTTTGAAAGTTCCGGTATGTCTCACATGGAGTTCTGTTTTACAATTGTAAAAATGTGTGTGTTTCAGTGTGTGTGTGTGTGTGTGTGTTTCAGTGTGTGTGTGTGTGTGTGTGTGTGTGTGTGTGTGTGTGTGTGTGTGTGCTAATACTTCTTCAGAAAAATGTTGGCACAGTTGTGCTCATTTTCTGTGCTTGGGTTGTTAGGTGAGTTCTCTTCATTGTTCTTGGTTATATGTGAATTATAAAAGAATCAAATAATGAGAAGAAAGAAGAAGAAGAAGAAGAAGAAGAAGAAGAAGAAGAAGAAGAAGAAGAAGAAGAAGAAGAAGAAGAAGAAGGAGAAGGAGAAGGAGAAGGAGAAGGAGAAGGAGAAGAAGGAGAAGAAGGAGAAGAAGAAGAAGATGAAGAAGAAGAAGAAGAAGAAGAAGAAGAAGAAGAAGAAGAAGAAGAAGAAGAAGAAGAAGAAGAAGAAGAAGAAGAAGAAGAAGAAGAAGAGAAGAAGAGACTAAGAAGTATGTGAAGGTTGGGAAATAGACATGTGGAGCTAGGGAATTTAAGACAAAATAATCTTATTGCAGATTCAGGATCTCTGGTGGGGAGACTTCTATCACACTTTGAAGATTCTGATTCAGAAAACCAGAGGTACTTCTTTGTTAGAGGCATTTTATTAATTTCTAAGTAGTACAAGAGTTTGAATACCATCATAGCAAAACCACAAAATACTTTTTATCATTCTCATGGGTTTTCATTCACAGTGAAAACAGCGTGACTGTTCTTATGGTAGGTGTCTCTGCCACTACTCATCCCATCTAGGGCTCACTTGCTTGTTTCAGATAAATGCGTGAAAGTGGACTGAGCATGCGCCTGCATTCTCTAAAGGGAAATTATTCTGTCTTAAAACTGAATCGATTTGTTTTTGGAAATCTTAAATTACTTTCTTTCCATATTTTATTGCCTCTTATTTCTTAAATCTTAATACTGTTTCTATTTTCAAAGTTATTTAAATTTTTTTCCTCCTATGATGTAAATTGAAACACTAAATAGGAATATTTTTATCATTAACATTACAGTTGTCAGGACTGGGGATTTAGCTCAGCGGCATAAGCGCCTGCCTTGCAAGCAGGCAGTCGTGAGTTCGATCCCTGGTACTGATAAAAAGGAAAAAGACAAAAAAAAATATTACATTTGTCAGCTTGGATCTCAATTATCCATTAATTTTTCTTTTTCCTGTGAAAATGTATCTATATGCTGTTTTTCACACCGGGCTAGTTTTTTTCAACAACACAGATTAAGACATATTTTCTTCTATCAAAATACAACATATATAACATTGTTTGAAGTAAAACTTAAAGTTGGTTGCAGTCAAAGTCAAATATAAGTGCAGTCAAAGTCAAATATAAGATTCTTCATGTCTTATATAATGTACTTTATGTAAAGTACATAAATTAAGTTAAAAAAAGAAATGTCATAAGAAGACTAACAAGTAATTTGAAAAGTACTGCCTTTTGTCTGCTTTTAGAATAAACTATAGCAGCAAATATTTTTGCTTTGTAAAAGTCTTCCTCTTACAACTGGTTACTCTGACAGAGATCCCTTTTCATAGTGCTGTTGCAAGAACTTTTAAAAGTGTTCAGAATACCTGAGCTGTTGCAGATTTGCTTTGTATAGATTTAGAAAAAATACTAGGCTTTGGGGTTTATTCTTTTCTGTTTTGATTTATGGGAGACACACACCATGAAGGACATGAAAGTGAAGGAACTAAGTGGCCTCCACTTTTCATAGTCTGTGTGAGTGGGCGGGGGGGGGGTGGTGTTGGAATCAAACTCAGGGTTCATGCCTACTAAGCAAGCATCCCGTCACTGACCTATACTTTAGCACCAGCAACCTCACTCTTAATCCCACTAGCTATGGGGGAAATATTTAATTTCATGTTCAAATTTTTCTTCCAATTTAAGTAGAACAATTTATTATGTTTAACACATGTTTGAAAACTGTAGCTCCATTTAAACATCAGTAAATGCATCTGCTATGTGTGTGCTGTATTACAAAGGCTATGACTGTTCTGTGGTGTTCAGGTACTTCCAAATATTGTCATCAGTGTGCAGTTTCCTTTCTTCTTCTTTTTAAAGGGAAAGATAACAACAACAAAAATGATATAAGATTTCAAAACACGATAGTAGGAAGTTAAAAATGGTTATTATATTTCATGTTGTTTTCAAAATACTTGCTCAGATGACTGGATATAGGCATGCAAAACTGATCAAACAATGTACTAACTGTTCCTTTCCATGAATTATTCGAATTAGTAGCACAATTTTATATAATATATATATATATATATATATATATATATGTATATTTCCCCTTCTTTTCTCCTTCCCCAGCCCCCAGTTCTTCTTTCATTTTGAGCAGCTGCTTCCCCTTTTACAATATCTATTGTACATTTTGGATCTTATTTAACCTTTCAGTTTATTACACTAAGGAGACCATACAATGTTTACACATGTGAATCTGATTTATTTCACTAATGAGTGTGGGTTCTAGTTACATCCATTTACTTATGAAAGCCATGAGTTTTTCTTTCTTTATACCTGAGTAGTTAAGCATGTAAAAATACCATATCTTTTATATCCATTCCTCAGTTGATGGGCATTTGGGTTATTTCCAAGTTTTATCAATTACAAATTGTACTACTAAAAACATGGCTGCACATAGGTTGTTGTGGTATAATGATTTAATTTTCAAGGAAGACTCCAAGAAGGAGAATAGCTAGGTCAAATGGGACCTCTAGTCCTAGTTTTTTTAGGAAACTCCACAATGACTTCCACAGTGGTTGCACCAGTCTATACTCCCACCAACAGTGGAGAAGTGTTCATTCCCCAAACAGCTCCACCAGCATTTGTTATTGATTGATTTTTTATGATAGACATTATCTCTGGTGTATTGTTTCAATTTGAATTTCTGAAAGACTAATGATGTTGAATATCTTTTCATGTATTTATTTACCATTCATATTCATCTGAGAACAGTGTATTTTTCTCAAATATCCATTTTTGTATTGGGTCTTTGAAATTGGGGGCCTGATTTTTTAAATTTTTCTACATTCTACATTAAAGCCCTTTGTCTGAGAGACAGATAAACTTTTCCCACTGTGCATTTTCCTTTCACACTGATTTCTTTTGATGTACAAAAAATTTTCCATAAGATGACATCCCATTTTCTGATTCTTTCAAGTATTTCCCATGCAGTTTGGTTTTTGTTTGTGAACTCTCTGCCTATCCCTGTGTCTTCAAGGTTTCTACTTACTTTTCCTTCCAGAAGATTTAGTGTTTCTGTTTTAATATCTATATATCTGATCTATTTTTATTACAATTTAGTGCATGATGATAGATATGCATCAAACTTAAGCCTTCAGCATGTGAAAAGCCAGTTTTCCCAGCACCATTGATTAAAGAGGTTGTCTGTCTTCCAGTGAACACGTTCAGCCTCTTTGTCAAAGTAAGGCAGCTGTGCACTTCTAACAGGGACTACAACTGCTGTTCAGTTTCATTGAGTCTCAGGTCTGAGTTTTCCCCAGTACCACACTTATTTCATCACAGTAGATTTGTTGTATAATTTAAATAAATATGTAGAATTATTTTGGGGATTATGGCCATTTTCACAATGTTAGTTCTTCCAATCCATGAGAAAATGATATCTTTCCACTTTTTTAATCCTCTTCCATTTTTTCTTCTGAGTACTGTAATTTTGAATATATAAACCTTTTACTTCCTTTATAGATTGATTCCTAAATATTTCCTTTTTTTGGATGCTATTTTGAAGAGTGTGGTTTCCCTAATTTCTCTCTCAATGAGTTTCTTGTTTGCAGAGAAATGGTATTGATATTCAAGTGCTAACTTTATACATCGCTGAATTCTGTTACTTCATCTAAAAGTC